CTTGCTGAATAAATCTTATTCTAATCAATAAAAAGGTAGTTCCTTCATCATGATGTAAAAAGGTCTCTTTCAGTATTTATTGAAAAAAATTTTAACTGAGGTTGCATGGTGGTGGCCTTTGGTTCAGTTCAAAAGTGACTCTGTCAGTTAAGAGGCAGGGCTGATGGACATCCCATGAGCTGGTAACTTGTGTACAAGATCGATCATTGTGAGGAAATATGTCAGAACATCTTGGAACAGGTAGATTTGATCATGTGGTATGAGGATGCAAAAAAATTTTTGAATTCTGGTATCAGAGACTTAATATCTCTCTCATATGTGTGAAAGCTTTTCATTATAATACAAGTCACTTGAAATTTGGGGACCTGAGTTTCCAATTTCTAAAAATTAAGGCACTGAAGAATATGACTACCAAGGTCTAGTTGTGTTCTATGAGTTTTTTGGCTCCACATCTTGAGTTTTTGGATGTCAAAATATATCTTAGTTTTCCAGAGTTCACACATATGGCAAGTCAGCCAATAAACTGGAAGCTCAAAGGGCTAAAATAAATATCACAAAGTCATGAAAGAGAGTAGAATAAAGTGGTTAAAGAATCGTTTTTGGAGTCAGATAGCCCAGGTCCAAACACCACTCTGCCACATGCTGGATGTATGAATTTGGGCAAGTTACTTGCTTTCCTGAGGCCCAGTTCCCTCTGTAAAATGGAGACAAAAGTATCTACATACAAGGATGTTGATGAGCACTGGAGATAGTAAACAACAAATAAACTGTAGTTCTTCTTATTGTCTCAGAGACCATTCATTGCAAAGAACAGAAATGAATTAGAACCAGCTTCACTAAAAAACAAAAATAAAACAAAACAAAAACCCATTGACTAAATGATGCCAGGAGCTCTGAGTAAGGCCCATTGTCCCAAGTATGGCTGGGTCTCTTGGAAATAGGAGTAGAGATATGGAAAACCAGGGATCAAGTCTGCTTTTTCTCTGTCTCTAGGATAGTATAATCTCTGCTTCTCTCTGAATGTTGGCTTTCTTCTCTCCTCCCTGCAGATTTGCTTCCTTGTCTATCCACTTGGGACGTGGTCATCACAGCTTTCCCCAAATGGCAGCCTCAGCTTCCAAGTCTATGTGCAGCTTTGACCTCAACAACTAACTGAGTCAATATCACGGTAATCCAAGTCCAAATTCCTGGGAGATAAAATATGATTAGCTGGGTTTGGATTAGATGTGTACTCTTGGTCCAAAGAGCTAAGAGGTCAACTAGCAAGGAGGGCTGGCTCTCTCAGTATGACACAGAGCCTGTCTCCAGGCCGGGGGCTGTTGTTATCTGGGTACATATATTGTGCACTTGACTCTTAAAAGAACCCATAAGGTGCTCACTCTTGTTTTATAGATACAATTCTTTGTGCATAAGTGGCAGAATGGTAGGTGGCTGGAGGGAGGCTGCTCGAGGAAGACACAGTGACAATGATGCCACTGGCCTCAGAGAGAGGTATCCTAAAATAATAATAGTAATGAAATGCAGGCACAGGGGCTCAAACCTAAAAATTCATCAGACCCTATAATGAAAGTGTGCACAGTTTACCATTCAGTATGCCCCAGGGACACTATTGTTTTTAGTACATCAAACCAATGTGTGTAAAAACTGTGTTTTAGGGCTTCCCTGGTGGCGCAGTGGTTGAGAGACCGCCTGCCGATGCAGGGGACATGGGTTCGTGCCCCGGTCCGGGAAGATCCCACATGCCGCGGAGCGGCTGGGCCCGTGAGCCATGGCCGCTGAGGCTGCGCGTCTGGAGCCTGTGCTCTGCAACGGGAGAGGCCACAACAGTGAGAGGCCCGCGTACCGCAAAAACCAACCAACCAAACAAACAAAAAACCTGTGTTTTATAATAATCTTATGAAAGGTTGCACTTGTTGAAGAAATCAGGAAACTTTGTTGAAAAGCAATATTAAAATAGTTAAAACGTCATCCATTCATGCATTTGTCATTCATTCATTCACTCAGCAAATATTCCTTGTGGTTTTATCATGCTGCTGGTACTTGTACACATCACGGGGGCTCAAGAAGAGGGTAGACACTCCGGTAAATCAGCAACTAACATGGTGTGAGATGCACACTTTTGAAAAAGCATAGCCAGGGCATGATGTGGGCACAGAAAATTGACAAGGGGAAGGTACATCAGAGATAGAACCCTGGGGGTGGTGCTTTTAGAGGAGCTCGGGGGGAAGAAGAGGAGGAAGGGCATTCCGGGCAGGGGAACTGCCGACTGGGGGCAGAGAGAAGGGAACTAGCCGGACCCCACAGAGCACTTTAAGTAGCCCCTTGTGTCTGGAACCTGGATGCCTGGGTGGGGGTGGGATGACAAAGAGTGACTGCTGGGCCAGAGGAATGGGCAGGAGCCTGATTGAAAAGGGCCTTAAGGGCTAAACTAAGGAATCTGAACATTATCCTGAAAGTTACAAGAGGCCCGTGAATGTCTTTCAAGCAGGGGAGTGATCTGATCAGCTCTGTGGATTATAAAGAGCATTCTGGAGTGCCAAGGGGGAAAGGCCGGAGGAGAAGAGTTAGGCTGTTGGTTGTAGCAAAGCCAGGAGGGGTGCAAAAGAAGCAGTGGTTACTTTAGGAGTGCAGAGATGTCGACTATGGCGGGTGCTAAGGAGGGAATCTGGGTGACTTGCGGATTTCTGGTGGTGCCATTCACTGGGCTAGAGAATAAGAGAAAAAGGGAGAGACTGGGATTGGGGTGACTTCAAATAGGAGGTGCTCCTCAAGCAGCTGGAATGAGTCTGTGGAGATAAGCAGAGAATTATGGTCCAAAGGTATGGGCTTGGGGCTGAGCAGCAGGTGGGTGGAGGTCCAGCGAGAAGGATAAAACGTGGAGCAGAAGAACAGGAGAGAACACGACCAGCAAAGCCTGGGGCAGGAGGAGAGAGGCCTTGAAGCAAACTGAGAAGAAAGACTAGAAAGGTGGATGGAAGGTGTTCCTCCCCCAGACAAAGGAAGAGAGGGAGCTCTAGGAAGGAGGAAGAGCTCTCGTGGTAAAATGTGTCTCACGGCAAGAAGGGTCAAGAAAGAAGGACAGTAAGAGTGTCCAACAGCTTTGGGACAAGGGGCTGTTCATTGGTGGCACTAATGAGGGACGCTCCCCTGGTGGGCAGAACTGGAAGCCATGTGGGAGGGAAGTGAAGACAAGGAACAGACAACTTTCCAAGAAGATTGGCTGGAAAGGAAAGAAGAGAAATAGAGCAGAAGCTTGAGGGAGAAGCGGGATGGAGGTGGGGTTTTTCAAGATGGGGGACAACTGTTCATATTGTTAGGATGCTGAGAGCCAGTAGACAGGGGAAGGAAGATACGGGGTAGAGAAAGGAAGATGGATGGAGCAAGCTCCCAGAGGAGGGAGGGAGAAGGGATCCAAGGCTGAGGTGGAAGGATTAGCCTCACATATGAGGAAGGACAGCCCTTTCACTGAGATAGGAAGGAAGGAGGAAAGGATGGGGCCAGACAGATAAGTTTGTTCGTGGCAGGGGAGGAAATTGAGGGAGTTCTCGATTGATGGCCTCAATTTGCTCAGTGAAGGAGGAAGCAAGGTGATCTGCTGAGTGGTGCGGGGGAGGGGGGTAGAATGGGAGGTGGTTTAGGAATAGAGAACGTTTGGTACCTATAACCGCTGACAACAGTGGGGGACGGAACTGGCTAGAGACCCAGAAAGATTGGTGGGGAGTACTGAGCACCTAGCCGAGTTGGGAGAATATATATTGGGTATGCCCTAAACTCACAACTGTGACACTTTCTCCCAAAGCCTTTAAAAGTCTAGACAGAAGAGCAAGAAATTAAATTGCTAGATTCAGCCAGGGCTGAGTTTTTGCGGAGTGACTGTCACAGAAAGGTAAGAGGGTCAAGAAATTATAGGACATGGAGAAAAGCAGTTTGAAGTGATGGGCTACTGCATTCAAGGCAGATAGAGGGACACAAAATCAATATTCATCTGCGAGATCAGGAGCAAATAGAAGGGCTCAGGACCCCAAGGCCTCAGTAGGTAGGTGTTTTGGGGAACAAAACAAGTGACGAGCCGAAAGGTACCTGTTGACACACAGTGGGTTGCTGGGGTTTCAGATTATAGAGGCAGACCTGCTCCGCAGCTTTGGAAATTGGTCATCTGACAGCTGATCTTACCTCTTTCTTGAAGCTTTCCTTAGTCCCTCCATCCCCAAACGTTTTTCTCTAGCCTCTGAAGTCTCATATCACTTTGTTTGCAGACAGGTAGTAAAAAGCACATTAAACTGTAACCTCAATATGAGAGCCAGGAGACCTGGGTTTTGGTCATATCTCCAGCACCCATAAGTTCTGTGGCCTTGGCCACATTGTGAGCCACCAAGCAACGGCTATCTGGACCAGTCCTACTTGCTTAAGGACAGATTATTTTGTCCATGAGCATTATGTGCCTCACATCACCTGTATCGGTGGAATTCCTTTGTTTGTTTCCCACCGTTCTGTAGGATGAGGCCTGGCAGGACCAGGGACCCTCTGCCTTCTGTGTCACTCTATTTCACTGCAGTTTCTACATATACCCAACATCAAAAGAACCTGGAAGAAATTCTATTGAGGAAGGAAGAGATCTTTTGCTTCATAAAATTTCCACTTTTATTTTAATAGTCTCAAAACCAGCTTGCAAGAGTAGCAAATCCAAGAAACTTATAATGCCATGAAGGCAGACATTCTGGGAGAAAAAAAAATAGACCCTTTAAAATCTGAGCTTTGTTATCTGACTGAGGTCAGCAGAGACAGACCAAATCAACAAGCATGACATGAAGGGCAAATTTGCAATTAAAAGAAGAATAAGGAATTATAAAGATGGATGAGCCCTGTTGACACACGCACCCAAGCCTGCGTGGCCTTGGCCTCGGATGCCAGAAATTAATGCTTTACTCTTTAGCATTCGTCACCTTTGGCTCAGAACAGAAAGGCAAATGCATTAAAATAACAACAATTAGACCACTTACTTAGCTTGGAAGGCATTGTTGGTTCCCCTGTGGTCGAGGTCATGACACAGGCATCCCACAATCACCGCTAAAATTTCCACCTCGGTCAGAATCTCTTGAAACCCGGCGGTCTGGGAAGATGGGAAAACGGCAACAGTCATCGCTCAGGGCAGGCAGGATGGATAAGGCTCGTCTGCTGAGCAGCCATCAGCTCTGTTTTCATACCCACGTCATTCAAGGGAATGATTAACTGCCACCCCTTGTGGGTGAGTTGGGTGGTCAGTTGCACAGCCCAGGGTCCCCAAGGTGATGAATTAGCTTCACTGGCTGGCACACCAGGACAGAGTTCAGACTATTTTGTTCCCTCTTTGGAGAAGAGGCTGTGCTGTCCAGATACAGTGACAGTTTGGCAAAGGCCCAGAGCAAAATGTGTTTTGTGATTCGACATTTCAAAATGATGAGCATCTAGGGGTAGGGGGGAGAAGGGGCTGTGAATTTAGAACTGAATGCTATATCCACCAGATGCCATTCAAATGAAAGCAGGCAAAAGAAACCCCCCCTTTAAAACATATATATATTAAAAGAAGCAACTTAGAAGTACTCAAACTATTACATGATGATATTTTAGCAGTTATCTTGTAAAAATCTTAATTCATATTAGCTTGGAGGACAGATTAAATTTATACGGATAGCAAGGCAGTGAGTGTCTTGAAAACTAGAATTTGGCAGGGGATTAGGCAACCTAGAATGAGGATCAGGTGCAGTATCCATTACATGGAATTCTTTTTCTATTACCCTCTGGTAGCTTGCTCGTGAAATGCATAGGTGTGGTGTAATATCTTTGGGGAGCAGTGTGATGTAATTATATAATCAGGAGCCAAAATGGTTCTCTGGTTCCTGCTGTCCTTTCATTAGTTTAGAAGAAAAGTGAGCTTATGGAAAAGCAGGTCTATGTATTTTCTTGATCTAAGGCCTTTACGTCTCCCCCTTTTACTTTGTAAGTCTCCCATTTCATTACTTATTAAAATCTTTATCAGAGGGCAGGAGGAGGGGAAAGGTAGAGCTCAAATTGCTTCCCTTTGCACGCGTGTTTTTTCTCCACATCTAACATTACTAGCTAGTATCTAAGACACTTCTCTTAGAGCAATGAACACTTTGTTTTTTAATTATGTTTTTATTGCAGAAATAAATGAATAATAAAGTTTCTGTGTTGACAATTTTATTTTAAAAGATTGAGTTGGGTCCACTGATACACTTAGAAATATGTATAATTTCATTTGCATAGCAAATGGGAATGTTAGTAAATTATCTGGGGAGGATAAAGTAGCCCATATTAAAGCTGTGTGTGCCCTTCATTTTAAAATTTGGAGCTGGCTGTTGGCTTTAAGTTAATTTTATTCTATTTAAGACATTACCTGTAATAGTTTTTAAAAATTCAAGTTGTAGTAAGAGACTTAGAACCAAAAACAATGGTCCCTCATCCTTCCCCTATCCTGATTCCCAAAGGCAACCACCTTCAGTTTTCTTTTTTATCTAATTTGGTAGGTATTTTCCTCCATATTTCTGTATAGTAGACACATATTATTAGCACTTGGTTATTCATCCTTCCTGTGTGCCCAACACTGTCCTAAGAGAATTACAACCATTTAACTTACTTAATTCTCATAACAGACCTGTGATGTAGGAATTTTATTATCCACCAGTTCAGATGAGGTAACTGAGGCACAAAGAAACTTATGTGCCCTGGGTCTCAGACAGTGCCTACCTGATTGTCACTCTAAATATTATTCGCTAAGGAGCCAGTTAGGTATCCAATTATTGTTTCCTTTGTTATGTAAATGTTTTCATTTCCTGGAGTTAAGATTTCTTTGAACATCTAAGTCGACTCACATCCTGTACAACTCTCCAGTCACACCTTTTATTAGATCCCTTCCCGTCCCAGGGACTCCCTGCTTTGGCCTGCTGCTGTTCTTTGGTCTGGATTCTCTGTCTGCCGTCAGCTTCTCCCTCCTGGGGTTGGTCCCTTATCTCCTGCAACCCACATCTCTCTCTTTCCTTGTTTTTCTCTCTCAGTTTGCGGGAACACATCTGCCAGTGGCTTCATGAGAAAGGGTGTTAATATTTCTTTTACACTGAGGAAGTTGATTTTTTTGAGGCTATGACTGAAATGTCTTTAATCTATTCTTCTACTCAATTGTTGGCTTGCCTAACAATTCTGGGTTGCAACATTTTCAGTCAGAATTTCGAAGGACTGCTCTATTGTTTCCTAACTTCCAAAGTTGCTTTTGGGAAGTATAAATCATTCTTATTCCTAATCCTTTGAATGGTACTTGATCTTCTGTCTTTTAGAATCCTCTCTCTATGCCTGGGGTTTGCCAGTTTCACAAAAATCTGCTTTGGTTTGGGACTTTTTCCCCATCATTGCTTGATAAATGCTTTCAATCTGAAGGCTCATTATCTTCAGTATAATGTGCTTGTAATCTTTTTTTTTTTCCTTAATAATTTCTACTTCACTATTTTTTCTGTCCTATTTGGATGGCGCTCCAATTGGTTGGACATTGGACTTCTTGTATTGATTTCCTTATTTTCTTTTTCTTTTTTTTTTTTTAACATCTTTATTGGAGTATAACTGCTTTACAATGTGTGTTAGTTTCTGCTTCATAACAAAGTGAATCAGCTATACATACACATATATCCCCCTATCTCCTCCCTCTTGGGTCTCCCTCCCACCCTCCCTGTCCCACCCCTCTAGGTGGTCACAAAGCACCCAGCTGATCTCCCTGTGCTATGCGGCTGCTTCCCACTAGCTATCTGTTTTACATTTGGTAGTGTATATATGTCCATGCCACTCTCTCACTTTGTCCCAGCTTACCCTTCCCCCTCCCCGTGTCCTCAAGTCCATTCTCTATGTCTGTGTCTTTATTCCTGTCCTGCCCCTAGGTTCATCACAACAACTTTTTTTTAATATTCCATATAAACAGGTTAGCATATGGTATTTGTTTTTCTCTTTCCGACTTACTTCACTCTGTATGACAGACTCTAGGTCCATCCACCTCACTACAAATAACTCAATTTCGTTTCTTTTTATGGCTGAGTATTATTCCATTGTATATATGTGCTACATCTTCTTTATCCATTCATCTGTAGATGGACACTTAGGTTGCTTCCATGTCCTGGCTATTGTAAATAGAGCTGCAATGAACATTGTGGTACAATTTCCTTATTTTCTTGTCTCTTCTTTCCCATTGCCCATATTGACTTTTCTCCCCTTACTTTCCAGGAATAATAATATTTTAAATTTATAAGCATTTTCCTGTCTGCTGCTCCTTTTCTAATAGCATGCTATTCTTCTCTCATGGATGCACTATGGTCTCTTCTTTTGAAGATATTAATTATAATTCCTTGAAATTCTCTTCTGTTCCCTGAATTGTCTGTTTCCTCTGAACTCCTTGTCTCTGTATTTGGTGGTTTCCTCAAATGCCTGATATCCTTGGTAGTCTACTTACTCATGCAAGAGTAAAGCACTGCTACGCTCGCCACACACGGGCACTTGGGGATGGTGTCTATAGATGGCTAACCTCATCCCAGGGTGAGCAAACGGCCAGCTGGTCCTGCTGCAGGTCCCCATGTGTCAGTATCTAAACTCACTTCCTCTGGACTTTCCAATCTCGTGCTTGGTAATGGCGTGAGCACAGGTGTTGGCATTCTGAGAAAAGAGTATGTAGCTTCTCACCTTTGAGGATATAGACTTTCACTTCATTCTCTTACTTTCAAAGTGCACCTCACGCTAACTTTTCTTTAACTGGTGTCCCCAAGTCTGGGGTTCAGTTTCTCCGGCAAATACGCTGGCTTCCTGAATAGATGGGGGAAGAGTAGTTCTCTGACTACATGGAGAGGGGATGGAGACTTGGGGACTCAGTGTTTTCATTACCCCCTCCCTCCCGCTCGCCCCATGTTTGTGGTATCTGATGCCTCTGGTTCTTGTGCTTTGACAGCTCCTGGGGGGACATTGTTTCTCAGGTGTACCCCTTCCTCCACCCTCTCACCCTGAAGGCACTTGGGTTGGACCTTCCTTTTCTTTGTTAATCTACGAACCATCCTCCCTCCATGAAAAGTGGAATTTGTGCCCATTTCTTGTTCTCCTTGTTGTTTTGGGATCATTTTTGAAAGGATGAGGGGATATAAATGTCTTTCTCTGTCATTTCTGTCACCTTGAAAAGGTAAGTTAGTTTCGTTGGGTTTGGATCTTGCTACTACTAAGTAAATCCTAAAAGTCCCTCAAGTATGAAATAATTATCCATGATACTCTGGAAATCAGTGTTGTAAACACAATGAAAATGCACTCAAATTTAGAGAGATTGTTGCCTGTGAAAATGCTACTGTTTAGAACTAGCTGATGCATTAGAACAGTAAGAATAGAGGTGGGATAATGTCAAAATAAGGTAATTCAGCTAGAAAGTTAATTGGAAGATAAAACTGAATGCCATCTAACAGACTCACGTTCAGAATCCCGAATCACTGTTACGCCATCAGTTATCACGCATTGTATGATATGATGGACTATGTTTTGCTGTAAGGTTCTATGCAGCCACTCCTGCCGCCCCCACTACCCCGTCCCTTCTTGGAAACCCAGCATCTAGCTCTTAAACTATTTGTATCACGGATAGTTTTCAGAGTTTAATAAAAGCCACGGACCTTCTCCCCTGAAATTACTCTATGATTTTATGGTGTTAAAGAACATGGAGCCCACCCCTGGATCCTCGGAATAAAGAATCCCTGAAGTACAGCACACACACCATCACACGAAACATATTTACCTCTCTTGACTGTGGTGCCTGAGTTACTGAAGCAGCACCTATCTCTTGACTGTGACTTAAAGCTGCCTGGTTTCTGAGAATCGTCAGGCCTGAAAAGTATCTGCCTGCCACTAAGTGTCCATTTGCCCCTCCCCACCTTCATCCATCTTCTTTCTAGTCCTATCCATTCTGACCTACACTTTACACACACTGAGGAGAAAAAGTCAACTGCCACTGAAGACAATATACTTTCAACAGAGAATAGAGTGGCAGTAGGAAGTATATTTTAATGTGTTTCTCCTATGCTTAATTCTATTTTATTTTTATTTTCAAAT